TTTTTGGAACCAATTAACATCGTTGTGTGAGGCACCACTGTATATACATTTGTTTTAGCTAATGGTGATACCACAGTATCTTAGAGCCAAAACAGGTTAGCTTCCCAAACTGAAGTTGCATTACCTGATGCTTTATATCTTTAAGTGGCTGCCAAATTAAAGAAAATTCTAAATTCAGTTTTAACTCTAATGAACACTTAGATTAGTGTTGATTTTAAAAAGTCTCATTCTTGTTAGTGAGTTCGTGCTAGCTGAGAGCAAAATTGAGTTTAATCTTGTGACTGTATTGTATTGCACCAAGAAACTCTTTACTTTTTAATTAGATGCCTTCCACTGAACTTCAGGAAAGATGAATTGAAGGGAATCCACAAAGATCGGATGAAAATTGGTGCAAGTTTGGCTGATGTTGATCCAATGCAAATAGACTCTACTGTAAGTGTTCAATATTCCACTTTCTTGAGTAAATTGTGCTTGTTACAGATTGTGAAGGGTCGTTTGGTTGGGCTTCCTTTTCTTTAATAAAACACCAGCAGACGCTTGGTCAAATAACTTATCGTCGTTTATTACTTCACCCAACGGGGTTTCAACCATAACATGTTTGTTTTCACTGAGTCTCTTGTTCCAGCAACGGCTCTTGCAAGGGCAACAAAAAGCTTTCTTGAAGAACGTTTCCCAAAGTCTGGTCCCATGGACCGGCACCAACTCTTTCCTGACCCTCAGTTCCCAAACCCAGGTCAAGGGGACTTAGAAGTGGGAGGGTCTCTTCATCTCCCATCCATCCCCAGGATGGGTCTCTCTCTCTGGTCTGGTCACCCCAAGGTCCAGGAAACACCCCATCTTCCTCAGTTCTTGATGCCATTCCCGACGAGCCTCCTTTTCCTTGGCAATGGCTTCTTTCTGTTCCCTAATCTTTCTTCGCCATTCACGTGTCTCAGACTCAGCCCAATATGACGGTCTTTGGGGTAAGCCTTTCTTCCTTCGATTCTTGGCTTCTGTCTTAGGCACCCGGACTTGTTCCCATTTTCCCGTCCACGGGTCCTGCAACCATATCCATTCCTAACCTCCAGAGATGATGTCTCGTTCTCCACTGACTTCCCCCAGCCCCCCTTCCTCCAGTACCTCCTGAACCTCTTTCCTTCCCGCCAAATCTTCCTTAAAAGGATTAGTTATTTTTAACCCTTTCCATCTGTCGGGTGTCTACTGCTTTTGACACCCCTTTTCCATGCAGATTTGCCTCTTCTAAATCTCGAGTATCTGAGCCTTGATCTCTTTTACGACTGAGGGTAGTCGGTGGACTAGTCTGGGTTTGTTTGGAAGTTTTTATGAGAGACGGCTCTACCAGAAAGACTCGATACTTCTGGTCTTTCCCTTCACACAGATCTGACGCTTCTTAAAATAAATACTGTACATCTCTTCATTCAGAATTCTGAAAGTTAATTTGAATGGAAGCAATGTGGCTGATTTGTTTTTGGTTACAGAAATGAATGATCATTGAGAGCATTTAACTGATTATGTTCACTTTTGATTTGCATTTCTGTTTCCTCACTTTAGGTACGATTTGATTGTGTGGGTGGACTTTCTAGTCACATTTCAGCTCTAAAGGAGATGGTGGTTTTCCCATTGCTTTATCCAGAAGTGTTCGAGAGATTCAAAATTCAGCCTCCAAAGTAATAAACTATATTAATAGCAACATGATGTCTGCAAATCCTAAGCTTCAAATTCTTTTAGACTGTTGAAAATATAAGGATTGGGATGAGCTAGTAGAAGCTTTGCATTTGGATGTTCAAATACGTTTTGATGGGGCCATTTGCCAAAGGCTTCTAAGTAAACTTGGGAGTCAGCAAATAAGAAGACCAATCTACTTACCAGTTATCTAGTTTAAAGAACAGGAAGTATGAAAGTGCAAATAAATGCACAGTTCTCATAACGGAAAAGCAAATCAGTATTAACTGTGATGCTAAAAGAAGAGTGTGGAGAACTTGGGGATAAAAGTATATTTAATGAGTCCATAAAATGTTTAAAGAACTTCACTTAAAAACATATGATGACATCCAGACAATGTACTTTTGTATATCAAAGAAATTCTGCTAACTGCAATGTTGTCAATTCCCAACTCTTACAGGGGATGTCTTTTCTATGGCCCACCAGGAACTGGAAAAACCCTTGTTGCCAGGGCACTTGCTAATGAGTGCAGCCAGGGTGACAGAAGAATAGCATTTTTCATGAGAAAGGGGGCTGATTGCCTTAGTAAATGGGTGGGAGAGTCTGAACGGCAACTTCGTCTATTATTTGATCAGGTAATTTTGCTTTCTTTTTCTCTGTGTTTTGTTCTGTGTAGCTTCATCAGTACTTATACATTTGAACTTCTCTTGTAGGCCTTTCAGATGCGTCCTTCAATTATATTCTTTGATGAGATAGATGGTCTTGCTCCTGTGCGGTCCAGTAGACAAGATCAAATTCACAGGTACGAGCTTCATATTTAAAAGCTATATTTGTGTTTTTTTAATGTGCAGCTTGGAAAAGGCACAGAGCTTAGCAAAAAGGGAGCCCTTTGATCCCTGCGTTTTCTAATTTGGGGTTAGAAAAGAGGGGATCGTCTTATAAACGGAAAAATACGGTATGCTTAGCTTAACAAAGAGAAGACTGAGGGGGAGACATGATAGCAGTCTTTCAATATCTGAAGGGTTGCCACAGGGAAGGGGGCATCGATTTATTCTCCATTGCGCCTGAGGGTAGGACAAGAATGCATGGGTGGAAACTCATGGGAGGGAGATCCAACCTGGAAATAAGGAAGAATTTCCTGACGGTGAGAGCCATTAAGCAATGGAACAGCTTGCCTCCCAATGTTGTGGGTGCCTGATTGCTGGAGGTTTTAAAAAAGATTGGACAGCCATCTATCTGGGATAGTATGAGGTCTCCTGCCTTGGGCAGGGGGTTGGACTAGAAGACGGCCAAGGTCCCTTCCACCCTACAACGATTCTATGATTCTGTGACTTTTTCCCACTTGTACAGCACAGTCTACACAAGGCACAGACCAAGATCTTTGGCTCCAAGCCTCATAATGAATACAAATTTGCATTTGTTTGTTTTTAAGTTCAATTGTTTCCACGTTACTTGCACTGATGGACGGCTTAGACAACCGAGGTGAGATAGTGGTGATTGGAGCAACAAATAGATTGGATGCCATAGATCCTGCTTTGAGGAGACCTGGGCGTTTTGACAGAGAATTCCTTTTCACCTTGCCAGATAAAGATGTAAGAAACATGGTTTTCCTTATGAATAATTGCTGTGACCTGCCCATTGTTCATGGACTGTGATGATCTCTAGGGCAATAAACTTCTGGCAAGTTTCTCAAATTGAATGCAAATAATTTTTTCATTTAGCTGGAATGTGTAGCATTTGTTTAAACTAATGAAGATTTAAGTCTCTTGTGACAAAGAAATATTGAAATTATATAGAGGATGGTATTCCTTTTCTTCTCAATTAAAATCAGTGGGATGGTCTTTATCTCAAGTAACTGTTAAATCTTACTTCTGAAAGAGCATTGTTAGGATTAGGTTGAAGAAGTCCATTAATGTAACATAAGAGCTCCATTGCACCATCCCAATAGTCCCATCTAGTTCTATATTCGGCTTCTCACAGTGACAACCATGCCATGGTATGCCTGAGTATGAATACCAGTACCCCCTTCCTCTTTTGCTCCTCAAGAACTTGTGTTCAGTGTTGTACTGCTTCTGTTAGGAAAGTGACATGTAACCTATTGATCAAATCCGGGTAACATGATTATTCTTTGTTAACTTTCCTATTCCCTTTTAAAACTAGTCAGATCTCACCATTTGCAGATCATCTTTGTATTCCATATTTCTTACTTTATCTTACTAACACGTGGAATACATAATAAACAATCTTCTTATCCAGTTTTTCCATGAATGATTTCATAAAACCTTCATAATTTCTTCTTGTAGGCATAGTATTTCAAAAATATCTATCACGTTATCTTTCCATATAGCAAGTTGCTTCGGCCTCCTTACTTTTTCATTTTCCATACAATTGTTGGCTACTGAGACAACATTTCTGTGACACAGTAGTCTCACAATCTCCTTTTCTAAATAGTAACTGCCATTTTATATCTCATAAACAGATTTTCTATCTATGTCATTTTAAACTTACTTTAAAACTTGCTTGCTGAAATCCTGTTGCACTGCTATGCCAAAGGTGTAACCTTTGGAAGCACATTGCCTGAAGTTAAAAAAAATCTCAGTGGACATCTGTTGCATACTGAGTCATTCAGTTAACACATAATCTCTTCATAGCTGAAGCCAGTTTGCTTCCAAAGCTTAACTGCAGGCAGTTTGCTTCCACTCATTATGTCTTTTGTGTAGTGGAACAACAGAATTTCAGGGTTTCTCTCCCCCCCCCCCCCAGTTTGACAAGGTGTTTCTGGAGCTCTTCACCATTATCTTACAACCATGTTAAAAAGTAGAATTTAGTACTATGCATGTAGAACACTCACATTTATAAATAATATAATATTGAAAAACAAGGATGATATAACTGGAAATATCTATAAAAGATTAGTACTGAAGCTACTGGGATTTTTAAAAAAATTACTTTTGTATACTTCTAGGCAAGGAAAGAGATCCTTAAGATTCAAACACGAGAATGGTCCCCAAAGCCATCAGAGCCATTTCTTGAAGAGTTAGCTGAAAAATGTGTGGGTAAGATAAATTTTTGAAAGTTCAAAAATAGACTTCTGGTACAGTGGTTGAAATCCCGTAGCAAGTTGCAGTTAGACTAGGCCCGTTGAGTCAGCGGAACTTATGAAGGAGTTGACTGAACGAATCACTACAGATTCAGTGGGCTTAAGGTTGCTACTTACTACTTAACAAATTGCTACTGATCCAGTAATAAGTTGCTACTTGCTACTGGATTTCAGCCAGTATGTTTATGTTTTGTTTGTAAATGTTGCTTTTAGATGGAATTTGCATTATATATAAAGTAATAGCAAATTGGTAGTGCCCACATAATAGAGGGATGGATCAGTATGCTTGGGTAAATTGTAAGGTTTACGTAAGTTGAACATGGTACTCCACTCCGCCATCCAACCATGGTGGTAGAGAATACCAGAAAACAGTGAAGTACTGAACTTGCTCCATGACCAAGGAATACAAAAAGGCTTAAGTAAAGCCCAGGGCTTCTTAGCTCACTAAAAAGTAGCGTTCTTTATAATTTTGTATGTCAACAAAGTTGCTGACAATGTTCAGAATTCAGGGGGAAAAGCCACTCCTGAATCAACATCCTTGCACTTCAAACACCATTTTGCACTTATCTGATAGACAGTCACTTTGGTAGTAGACAGGTTATGTAATGAACACAAAGTTCATGGCTTATGTTGATAATACTGTTGTGACTTTGAAATTCTGTTTGTTTGTTTTTTGGTGGTTGTATCGATTTTTTGTGTCCACATTTCCACAATGTATACTTGTATATGAAGTAGTGGCTATTTATTTTACAGCATGTGATGAATTGGATTGTAATCTGGTGATGCTCACTGTGCTAATCTTCAGGATGTCACAATGCTTCTGTTTTTGTTCATTAAAATTTTATTAGTTTTCACTATACAGTGGTGCCTCGCTTGACAAAGATAATCTGTTCCAGCAAAATCGCTGTAGAACGAAATTGTTGTCAAGTGAAAGTAAAAAGCCCATTGAATTGCATTAAAACCCGGTTAATGCCTTCCAATGGGCGAAATACCTCAGCATCCAGAGAAGATCCTCCATAGGGCGGCCATTTTCCGGTGCCTGTAATGCGAGGAATCCTTCCTAAAACACAGCCGGGAGCCATTTTGCACAGTGGGCAGCCATTTTGAAGGCCTGACGATCACCTGTTTTGATCATCTTTAAGTGAAAAATCGGTACCCGAAGTAGGGAACCGATTGTCATAAAACGCATTTTCCCTATTAAAACATTGTTTTGCGATCGCTATGGTGATCGCAAAATATCGTAAAGCCATTTCCTTGTCTAACGAGGTAATCGTCAAGCGATTCAGTTCGTGCTTGTTAAACATCGTGTTACATGGGTTGCTTATAATTATTTATTTTTGCGTCTTGGTGTCTTAGTTGTCTTTTCAAAATCTACTTTTTAAAGCATTTGAACCAGTCGTGTGTATTTTAGTATATAATGTTGACTACTATCATACTATTGCTCTCATAATATACAATGTTCTCAAAATCCTCTAATAATATACCTAATAAAAGCAATTCTGGTTTCAGATCTATACAATTTGATGTAATTTAACTGGCCACATTTGTATTTTGTACCAATAACTAAATAGGTTTCTAACGCACAGTGTTGTCTAAATCATTTTATATACATTTTCTTTATGTAATTGTTTAGCCATCTCTATCTCCACAGTTTCTGTCATGTCTATATACAATATCATATCTGATATATGTTAATTAAATACTATTTGTTTTATCCCTTCCTTATATCTAGCTTCAGTTTACCTTAAGTGCCACTTTGTTATGCCCATACTCTGATTAGTGATCCCTTATTTCAGATTGATTCCCTTTTCTACTATATATGTCCTCTTACAATTCCTGAAGTTAGGTGTATACAGTACATGCTTTCAACCTTGAGGACCCCTTAATATATTTTTCCTTTATATCTTTCTGTCCTTCTCTAGTTTGTCTTTTTCCAATTCTTATTCCTATCTTTCTAAAAATTCTGCCTTCCCTTGTACTGTCTGAGATCATTCTATGCACTTGATCTATCTCCACTAGATCTTCTAGGCTCTTTTTAACTAAATCTGCTGGTTCTTCCCCTTATCTTCTCTTAGCACACCTAAGACTCCCTTCAACTCCAGGGTTAGAATTAGATCTCCTTAATTTTCTCCTCCAATTTCCTCCAGCCCCTCCTTTGATTGGCATACATCACCCACCACCCTGACATTTTCTTGTTCATTATTCCCTGTCTCCTATTGAATATAGTCCTTCCTTAGCTGTTCATTGAACACCTTCACCTCTTCGTTGTGGGATCTCACTATTTCTAAAATTGCTTGAAGAGTAGATTTTGTTTCATCCTAAATTTCCTTGTTGTAACATTATGTCCCGAATTATCAGGTGATTTTATTCCAAGTAAAAGTAATCCAATTGCTTAAAGTTCAATTCCATCAATAATTGCTTCAATAAATCCACTTTAATAGCTTGATTATCTTTAGTGTTACATTTGAGCTCAGTCGCAGACGTGAAAGGTTTTCCACGCTTAGGACACTTGCTCACCAAATATCACAGTCCAGTTCACTTGCTGTTTGTATTTGTGGCCTGAAGTCTTTTGTAATCCAGCCCCAGAAGCAGTCCATTCCAGTATTAGTTTTATCCTGGTCTTTGCTACAGTCAGGTTCAGGACCCAGGATACATCCAAATATTTTTATTGGACCACATAATAGTCCACATTAGCCAGATATATATTCCAAGATGAATTGGCTTTGATCAGAGCTCAGTTGTCAGCCTAGATCTCAAAGTACAATTTAAATTTTCCACTTTGGCAGGATTAGATTTTCCAGGGTTAATTTGTCTATGCTTCAGTCAGTCCTCAGAAAAAAAGGGAAATCAAAACAAATTCCAAATTTAGAACTGCCATAGAGTGTTCAAAGTCATTGTTCTGGGCCTTCCGTCAATACCGTAGATAGCCATAACAAGTTTAAGTCCCAGAGTTGTTTAGCTGATAATGATTTTAAGAGAAAGTTTTCTTAAAATTCTAATGCCAAAGTAATACCAAACTTCCTTCCTTGAACTATAGTTAAATGTCTAATTAGTGTCCAATTTATTTTCTTTGCGTCTCCTTCCCTCTCTCCAGATTCACTGCTGCTCTATAAGGGGCGGGGGGGGAGAATAAAAGACACTTATTTCTGTTGTAGGGTTTGTCTCATCCAGAGGTAGTCATAAAGCAGTATAGTTATAAAATATATTTCACCCAGTGGTAATGGTGATGTTAATTAGCTGATTTATCGCTTCTCTATTGCCGGCTGCTGACAACTTTCAAGTGAGCTATTCAGCTGCTTGTTTCTGCCCACTGGTTTATTTGGGGAGTTTCCTGGATCAAAACAGGGGTAACCACTGCTCCCCCTCATGATCAACAGGCTTCTCCCCCAATTCACCACTTCTTTGGGGTGGTTTTAACCCCTTGGGGGGTCCCAAACAGGTCGGAATTCAGCCCAGGGGATGGAGCTCTGTCCTCCTGCTGCTGTCCCGTCGCAATGTCAAGCTAGAAGTCCACAATGTTTCTGTTTTTATGATGGAATGTGCGAGCTGTGAATATAAAATATATTCATGCTTTGATACGCATACATGTAAAAAAAATTCTTGGTAGCACTATGCAGACATTGATCATGTTTTTTTTAAACATTGAGTGTTGAAAACTAAAACTACATCTACCTGATAGAATTTGGATGAGAAAGTTATTTGCAGATTCATTTGTAGATTATTGGTAGCTATGAACTTTCAGTCAAGAGGAAATGTATGTATGGGGTTGTGTGGCTTTTAAACTAATTGCAGGCCATTTGATTTCCCTTTATAGGGTATTGTGGTGCTGATATTAAGTCTATATGTGCTGAAGCAGCATTGTGTGCCTTGCGTCGACGTTATCCTCAGATATATACCAGCAGTGCCAAGTTGCAGCTGGATATTTCTTCTATCAATATAACAGCAAAAGATTTTGTGATGGCAATGCAGAAGACCGTACCTGCTTCTCAAAGGGCAGTGACTGCACCTGGCCAAGCACTTTCTACCATTTCAAAACCACTACTTGAAAACATACTTCAAAGAATTTTGGAAGTCTTACAGAATGTGTTCCCACATGCAGAACTGGCACAAAAAGGGACAGGAAAGTCAGGTAATTGTACTTGGGATTTACTGATTTGAGGAGGAAGATTTTTAGCTTTAAATGCTGTTCCCCATCTCAAAGTTCCCAAAAAGGCTTCCCAGAACAGAAGGAATCCCTAGGAACCCTCAGAACCTAAATCGGGGGGTGGGGATGGGGGCAGGAAATTTTAAACTAAAGATTCTCATTGCTGGCTAATTACATCGTTGCTATTTTTGCTGGCAGAGTTATTCAACCCAGCCAATATCTTTTCCACCCAGATCTGAAGTTTGCTTATATTTTTTCTGGATTGCTTGTTTAGATCAGCAAACAGGTTCACTAAGCTGTTCATACTGCCTTTTCACACGTATCTGTATTAGTTACCTGGCATCAGAGACACACAGTTTTCCAAAGCTTGCTTCTTGCTTGTTTGGAAATGATTATTTCTTGCTTTTAAGAAAAAAATGTAGCTGTTTATTAATATGGAAATATTTTTGTTAGGGACCAAAGTGTTTAGCATTAGCACAACATAACACAGCTATGCTGACTATTGATAGAATAAAGCTGCCAGGCAGGCATTCTGGAAGGTCGAATTAAATGATTTTTTTTAGTGGACTTTGGAAAAAGCTGAACTCAGACATGCTCCAGGAACACTGGTGACTGAGCATACCATGATGACATCTTCAAACAACAGCCCAAATAGATAGTCAGCCTCTTTAGGATGGCTCTAGATACTTGGCATCTGATCAGTTTTAGCCAGTTAAACAGCACTAAATATTTTGATGGATTTTTGTTGTTGCAGTCATCACATAGGCATTCATTTGGTTGTCCCAAATTTTCTAATCAGTTAGTGACTTCTATGTTGCTTGATAGCACAGGTGAGGAGTTAAGAGTTCTGCTGCCATTCAAAACTATCCGGCTTCCTTGAGTTCCTGTTTCATATCTTAGTTGTAGTACTTTCCCACAATCAGACTGAAGACTGAACTAGATGTTGGCTGCAGATTAAGGATTAGGAAATTTGCTTGCCATCAAACCCCACCACAAAATAATTGGATGCATCAATTGTAGTGATGAAGGAATGGATGTATTTGACCATTGTAATACTAGCCATTTCCCCTGTATCCCTTGGCCCTTCTTACTCTTAACAAAGAAGGATCCACAACTAGGGAAGGCAGGCTTTTGAAGAAACGATGACCTTGGGTGGATGTAGGACTTCTGTGGCCTGTGGACAATTTTCTTTCTTTGCCTTTGGAAATAAAAGTAGCTATTACATCTACAAATGATTTGAGAATTTGTACTAGGCTATTTCACTTACAGAACTGCATTGCTGCTTCAGTGCTTGCATTATAACTTGCTACTCTTATCTGACTTTTTAGGAGTTAATAAATTTGTATTGATCATGTAACATCCTTGAGCATTTTTATGTTAATATTTTCATACCAATTCATAGAGGTGATTTGGACCATTATCAGTGTGGATGAGAGACATGCTGCATTTTTATTAAGCCTTTGAAATAAGATCTAGTATTCATATGAAAACAATGTTTTGTTTTTGTTCTCTAAAGATATTTCTAGTCACATGTTAGACACTGACTTGTACAGTGATGAAGAGGGACCATCATTGTTTGAAACTGGGCATTCACAGAAAAGTTCTGAAAAACAGAAGCAAAGTTTCCTTAATTTTAACAAGTAAGTGATAAATTAAAGTTATGACAAAGAAAAAGTGTCAGTTTATTTATGCATCTGGTATATTTTTGCTCTATTGCATGCATTTCTATTTTATTTATTTTGCTGCTTCATTCTGATGGTCAGAACAGTGGGGGGGGGTTTGCCTATCTTTGGGCCTACACATTAAATAAGCATATTGAGCTGCTATTTCAATAGCATATCAGTACACAAAGCTACCTTCCCTGACCTCTCTTTTTCCTAGTGCAGTAAACTTGCTTTCTAATCTGTTGATTGCAAATGTATGCTTATGGGGCTAAACATACATTGGATTCCTAAGAGGAAAAGTTGAATGATGTGTGAAAATTAGCTATTGGGAATGGCATAGGTCCCCACTTTCAAGCCAAGATTTTCTTTAAGCTAGGTCCGTGTGCGCATGCAAAATGTCTCTGCCTCCCTACACACACCTGTCTTCCTCCTTCGCGCAGCAATTGCATTAGATTCTGGTTGCAACCGAATCCTGCATGCGAAGGGGAGTGGAGCTGGGCACGTTGGGGCAAAGGCGAGAGAGAAAGAGGCAGAGCCCTGCCCAGCAAGGCTGAAAATTAGAGGGTACAGTGGTGCCTTGCTTAACGGGTGCCCCATTTAACGACGAATCCCCATAGCGATGAAGATTTTGCGATCGCATTGTGATGTTGCCTATGGGGAAAAATCGCTTTGCGATTTTTCCCCATACGGCCCATTTTCCCCTAGCTGAGCGGCGGGAGCTTCGGAAGGACCACAGCCGCAGTCCTTCCAAAGCTCCCGCTGCTCAACTGGGGGAAAATGCCGACGGGGGGAGAGCGCTCCCCCGCGGTTCTCCCAAAGGCCCCATTTTCGCACAGCTGATCGGTGGTTCCAAAATGGCCGCCCGCTGTGTTGCCTCGTTTTAGAGACACCAAAAATGGCCGCCCCATGGAGGATTTTCGCATAAGGTGAGTTTTTAAGCCCATAGGAACGCATTAAACGCGTTTTAATGCATTCCTATGGGCTTTTTTATTTCGCATAGCAACGATTTATCCGGAACGGATTATCGTCGCTATGCGGGGCACCACTGTACATTGTTTCCAGCTGAAAACAGACTTATCTCATATGACATTTGTTTTGCATTTTCCAAAGATGCTGATAGCGTCTCCTGTTGTAGCATCTTAAAACATGGAAATATTACAAATTACCAATTGGTTGTTGTAGGTTTTTTTTGGGCTGTCTGGCCATGTTCTTGAGGTTTTTCTTCCTAAAGTTTTACCAGTCTCTGTGGCCGGCATCTTCAGAGGACAGGAGTCAGAACTCTGGTAGGTTCTGATTCCTGTCCTCTGAAGATGCCGGCCACAGAGACTGGTAAAACGTTAGGAAGAAAAACAAGAACACGGCCAGACATCCCAAAAAACCTATAACAATCATTGGATCCTGGCCGTGAAAGCCTTCAAGAATACAAATTATCAATTGTTTAAATTTACATTCCTTCAGGTAGATGAATTATTAGGCAAGCAAGATTTCAGCATCTTTGCTTGGAAACACAACACCTGTGAACATTGGGATATTGGGTATTATGGTTGGCATGGGATAGCATGCATGAAGTTGCGAAGCAAGAGGACAAAGAACCTCATGTTTAAGGCTTGCATTAGTGATGATCTTTGCACAAAGATTCTTCTTTTTTTAATAGACATGCTTATAATCAGCCGACATCTTACCGACCAAGGCTCTTAATAGCAGGAGAATCTGGATTTGGACAAGCTTCTCATTTGGCTCCAGCAGTTATACATGCTTTAGAAAAGTTTACAGTATATACATTGGACCTTTCCATTCTCTTTGGTGTTAGTACCAGAACACCCGAAGAAACATGTGCACAGGTATTTTAGCTTGTTGTGTAGGTACTAAAGCAAGGCTTTACAGATCAAATATATATATAAGGCTAATATGCATATTTCACCTTCCATGCATGGATGGGAATTGTTTATTTTAGAATGAGTTAGGAACCTTGGGTTCTCCAGATGTTGGACTGCAGTTTGGTTTGAAAAATTAATTTATGATTATCATTAATGCTAGAACAGCCTGCTCCAAGCTAGCAGCTTCAGAACAGTTTGACTGCAAGACACGTTTCTGAGTCGACCAGCTGAAGCTGATGGAAATGTAAACCAGAACATCTGGAGAAGGCTGTTGGGGAGGCTTATATGAGTTCTGTTTTCCTCCAGTTGTGGGTTATTGTGTTGGCTTTTTAAGTACATTTTTTTGCCTTGGTATATCTCTTGCCTTTCTGACATGATAGAACTCCAAGTAACATACATAAGGCTCCCACGAGGTTTTCCATATCAGCCCAATGTTGTTTTATCATGTGCCCACAGATAGTTCTCCAGTACCACTTATCATTTGTACTGATAGCAAAAGAGGCAAAAAGTGTGAACACATAACTTCTGTATAGTTCTCAGTTTCTGATAGTGCTCCACAGAAAGTTATTGTTTCTTGCTTTTTTAACATGCTATACTGCGCTGAATCTACCTTTTTATATAGTGTTATACAGATACGTTTTAGTTGTTTTAAGAGCTTAATGTAAAAAGGAGATATATACTGTATTTTTCTGTGTGTAAGATGCGGCCATGTATAAGATGAACCCCCCCCCCCACTTTTCTAACCTAAAATTTCTTTCTTTGCAAGAAAGTGGAGGGGGAAAGCTGCTTTTTACAACAAAAATGTAAGGGGAAAGTAGGAATCTCTTTCCCCCTCCATTTCTTCTTCGTGGCCTCTGTGAATGCAAACAAATGGGTTTTGTCTGCGCCTGCGCTGACATTATGGAGCTAAAAGTAACAATTTTATAGCATGATCTCCCATGAAGCACATGCTCCCCTCTCAATTTTTCCTTTAATTATTTTAGGAAAAAGTGTCATTTTTTTCATGGAAAAATACAGTAAATTAAAATAATTTATGTATAAACCTAATAGTGCTCATGTTAATGTCAGGACTAGGATAGAACAACCTTTGGATACACACTCTAGCAACCAGTTCTCTGTGTCTAGATGCATGTCTGCTTGTACATACAGCATGTTCCTCAGTGAAACCAAAGTGATTGTCTAGTTCACAGAATTTCTAAGGAGTATTAAAGGCATGGCAACCTTTAGAAAGCAAACAAAAATTAAATGATTGACAAATGAAGTGAAGGGCCAGTTATATATCTCCTCTCTCTGGGTAAATTCTCTTCTTTTCCAGTTGATCTGTGAAGCCAAGAGAACAGCACCAAGTATAATATACATTCCAAATATACATATATGGTGGGATACGGTAGGACAGACATTGCAAGCAACATTTATTACATTGTTACAGAACATTCCATCTTTTGCTCCAGTTTTGCTCCTTGCAACATCAGATGTACATTATGCAGCTCTGCCAAATGAGGTACTTACACTCTGATTTTGTAGGATATATTTTTAGTCTATAATGCTGTCTTCAGTATTGCTGAATTATTTAGCTTTTTACCGTATATACTCGGGTATAAGCAGAACCAAATATAAGCCGAGGGACCCAATTTTACCACAAAAAACTTGGAAAACTTATTGACTTATTGACGCCGAGAGTAGAAAAAGCAGCAACTACTGGTAAATTTCAAAAATAAAAATAGATACCAATAAAATTACATTAATTGAGGCATCAGTCGGTTAAATGTTATTGAAGATACTGCCCTTCTGAGCTGTGAGATGCACTTCACTGCCTGCATAACAAAATGGGGGGAGATGGAGGATGGAGGAGGAAAGTGGGAGGCGGAAGGTGGGTACATAGAATACAGTGGTGCCTCGCAAGCCGAAAGTAATTCGTTCCGCGAACAGTGCTGTCTTTCAAAAAGCAGTTTCCCATAGGAATGTATTGCAATGCATTCCTATGGGAACCTCGCAAGACAAATGAATTATTTTCGTCTTGTGAGGCATTGGTCTTGGGGGGAATTGTCTTGCAAAGCACGGCCATAGAAGAAGCCATCTTGCGAGGCACCACAGCAATGGCAAAAACCATTTGTCTTGCGGGTTTTTCGTCCCGCGAAGCGTTTGTCTTATAAGGCACCACTGTATGCAGAAGGAGGATGGGGGTGTCCTGGAAGTGGAAATGCAGTGTACTTAACCCAGGTCATTGGACCACCCATAGAGGCTGCAGGCACCCGTAGATGAGCAGGGGAGTCCGGAGAACACCCACACTGCAGGGGAGAACATGTAATTTTGACACTGACTCGAGTATAAGCAGAGGGGGGGGGGGGTTTTCTAAGCAAAAAAAATTATGCTGAAAAACTAGGCTTATATTCTGAGTATATGCAGTATTCATGACTAGGAGGGAAAGCTTTCTAAAAAGTTCTTTGTTTTTTCCTTTTAACAGGCACTATCCTTCTCTAGAATTTTTTTTGTATGGTTATTGTGGGTTTTTTGGGCTCTTTGGCCGTGTTCTGAAGGTTGTTCTTCCTAACGTTTCACCAGTCTCTGGCCAGCATCTTCAGAGGACAGCAAATTGTGCTTTTTGTATATTTGCCATGTATGAAGCCCTAAATGTTACCTGCTTAGAGAGAACCACAGTTCCATCACCATCTAAATCAGTGGTCCCCAACCTTGAGCCTCCAGATGTTCTTGGACTTCAACTCCCAGAAATCCTGGCCAGCAGAGGTGGTGGTGAAGGCTTCTGGGAGTTGTAGTCCAAGAACCTCTGGAGGCCCAAGGTTGGGGACCACTGATCTAAATAACTGAAGTATTCTGTCACAACTCTAATGTGATGGAAGGTGACAGATAAAAGATATACAGTAGTTTAGAATGATTTATATCTACCAGCTTCTGTGTTAATGCTTTCATTTTATCAGTTCTTCAGGACTAAGCATTAGTACAGTGGTGCCTCGCTTAACGAGCGCACCGTATAACGACGAAATCGCATAGCGATCTCTTTTTTGAGATCACTCATGCGATCGCTTACCGATGGCCTCTATGGCCAAAACTTGCATTGCGAAGATTGGTAAGCGTTTCGCTTACCGATCTTCGCATTGCGACGCCGGGAAATCAGCTGTTCGGCGGCTCTTAACGGTGAGTATAGAAGCCATTGGAATGCATTAAACTAAGTTTAATGCGCTCCAATGGCATTTTGCGTCCCGTTTAGCGATGTTTCCTCATAGCGAGGGTTAATCCAGAACGGATTAACCTCGCTATGCAGGGCACTACTGTATTTCTCTAATCCTGCAACATGTATCTTGTTGCATGACCATCACTCCTTCAGTTTTGTTAACAAAGTTGCAATTATATTTTCTTTTCTTGATCAGTTGTACTTCTCAATTACTTATTCATTGTTTAGGTACAAGAATTATTTGCCAACGGGTATGGAGAAGTTTTTGATGTCCACTTGCCTACTACTGAAGAGAGGAGAGAATTCTTTAAGGATTTACTTCTTCATCAGGCTATTAAATCTCCCGCATCAAAAAAGAAAGCAGGTTAGGATATGCAGCAAATCAATTCTATAAATTTGATTTAGGACTTCTCAGATTTTGAAAAACCAACTCTTAAATGTCTCCAAATATCCTGTCTTGTTTTTAGTTTTGCAGGCGTTAGAGGTTTTACCAGTAGCAGCACCACCTGAACCACGGCAATTAACCAAAGAGGAGGTCAAACAGCTTGAGGAACAGGAGGAAGACACCTTACGTGAACTTCGAATTTTCTTACGTAATGTCACTCACAGGCTTGCCATTGATAAACGTTTCAGAGCCTTTACAAAACCAGTAGACTTGGATGAGGTAATAATAATCTTCAATTTGCACTTTGAAAATTGCCTGAAATATGGAAGTAATAATAAAAAAAACTAATTAAACGGAAATAGAAGAAAGAAAAAACAAACCCTCACACACTGCAACATCACTGCTATCCAAAGTGAAATTGGGGATTGATTGTACTACATCTTTTCTGACTTCTTCTAGAAATCTAACCCATAAAATATCCCTGCCTGCTGCAAAAGTAGATCCATAGACTGGGCATGCAAAAAAGAAAGTATTTATGGAAGGCTTGGCCTGTTCTTGTTCATCTATTACAAGAATCCTTGCTCTCTTGTTCCTTTGCCCTCCTGTCTATGCTCATCCTCGGTGCCCCTAGCCCCTAGTTTGTGGAACACTCATGCCTAACTTGCATATGTCTGACTCCTCCCCTCTTACTCTCGTTGCATTAAAGGGCATCTGGTTCAATATTTAGTGCTATAAATATGGGAAGTTAAAAATGGCATAATGCTGTTGTGGGCGTACGGCTCTCTTCAAATATTAAGTTACAGCCTCTTTATATTTGCAAATATGGGCATTGATTATTTTTATTATACTAATGTACATTTTATTTATGCTATGTTTCATGTCATTTGGTTTGATTTAAGTTACCAGGTGTCAATCTTGGGTTGTCTTTTCCATTTAATTTGTGAAATTATGTATTTTGTTACTTCATTAGTTTAACTGGTTATTTTTGCAATGCTGTTATGTAAAATGACTGTGAATACCAGATGTCAATACATGCGTGAAAAGACTGTGGTCTTGATATCATGCTCTAGTGGTAGACTCCTTGATGGTCCACCAGTATATGATCCTTGAATGAGTGAGACTGCAGGTCTGTCTTAACCTGTTACTGTTTTCTTTGACTAGCAGCAGTTGCATAGTATCGCTTGCAGAATTTTTGTTCTAGAACCAAATACCCACTAGTTAAACCTGGGGCTACTGAGTAGTGTACATTTCTTCAGAGAATTATATGACTGGCTATTGTTAAAAAATTAGATTGGCCCTATGTCTGGTGTAGTACAGTTGAATGACAATTGATTTTGCCTCTTGCTTTTCCGCTCTGAATTCTAATGCAAAGTATTGTCTTTCTAAAAATGTAATTTCAGTAACTTTTAAGTTAATGGTCAGCAAGTCAAGCATTCTTAAAACATGTCAAGGATATAAGATTTTTGTATCTATCTTAAATGAGATATTTTTTGGCTTCCTTCTTGTATTCCACTTGTAGGTACCAGACTACGACACAGTTATTAAACAGCCAATGGATCTTTCAACAGTTATTTCAAAAATTGACCTTCATCAATATCTATCTGCCAAAGACTATCTAAAAGATATTGATCTCATCTGTAGCAATGCATTGGAATACAATCCAGATAGAGACCCTGGAGGTGAGTGTCAGTTGTACTGGCCTGAGATAGATGCTGTAAATGTACAGTGACAAGTTATCTTATATAGAACTCGCTCATTATTTTTGGATAAATAACTATGCTAGAGCAGGGAGTTTGAAAACTTCTGTATAAATGTAGGCTTCCCACTTGTACCACTGGGTTAGTTGCTTCAAAGTCATGCATGTGCTCGTTTTCAGATCGACTCATCAGACACAGAGCTTGTTCACTTAAAGACACAGCTTATGCAATCATTAAAGATGAAATGGATGAAGAGTTTGAACAACTTTGTGAAGAAATTAAAGAGTCTCGCAAGAAAAGAGGTATGCACTGTCCCAATAATACTTTAAAAGCAACTGCAATATATTACAGTTAATGTGGTTATACATGATGTATATTCACCAGCAAGCATTCCAGAATCTATATCCATCTGCAGTGTCTTGGCCTGTGTTAGACGCTGCTTCACAGGGTCCCTAGCCTTTAAGAACAATGCTGTGTCCACACATGCAGACAGAACTGACTCTGAGGATGGGATAAAAAGTTTCAGTGCATACTGTTCATGCAGTTCTTTGGATCTTAGACACTCTTTATCTCACATTCATCTGTTTATATGCAAGTGTAATAAAATATTTGATTAAAAAAACTAACAGTAGTTTGTTACTTGTAAAGGTTGCAGCTCCTCCAAGTTTGCTCCATCTTATTATTATGTAATGCCAAAGCAGACTGCTATCTTAGATGCTGTTCAGAAAATGAATTCGGAATGTAGTGAGAAACTGAAAAGCCTTCCAGTGCCTTTGGACAGTAGTTCTCCTTTTTCTAACCGTAAGTATTGTTTTAGTAATATTTCTCACTTGGTGAGTTTTTGTGTATGTTTACAATTCCAAAAGTGGTTTATAATCTGCTGTATAAGTTCTGTGCCCCAATTCCCTGAATCCTACCCCTTCCCATACCCTCTGATTGAATACTCGGGGCGGGCAGGAGACCTTGCTTCACAGTCCAGAACAGTAGGGAATGCTCTTGGTCAGAGGAAAAAGACCAAACTAATTTCGTTTTCCTAATTGTTTTGTTTATCCTTGTTCGTGCAGTTTGGTTTCCATAGTGGTTTTCCTTTCCTTGGTACTTTTGATGCTTGGTGTCACAAGGAACCTTCCCAGGAGGGTTTTTTTAAAGGGGTAGCTGTTGTGAGGAATTAGCTGCCTCCTCCTCTAGCAGATGAGCCCTTTCTTATGTTTAGGAAGAGCCCATCACATGGATATGTGCTGCTCCTGTCATGCCTTCATTCATGCTTGTGAGACCACTTTTGGGGAAAGAATCTTTAGGCCTGGGTTCTACTTCTTTGCATGCACGGGTGCCCAGTCAGTGGACTCATGTGGCTCCTTTCACACTTCTTGTGCCAGATCCCTTTCTGTAAGCTGCCTTTTTTGTTTTTTGTGGAAAGCTGAAAGTAAGCTTCATTCTGATATACTTTTTAATGTAGCATTATCTAAGAGAAAACTCCGAAGAAAGAGCCGATGGTGCCTGGGAAACCTAGCAAAACGGAAGAAAACTTCTCATTTCAATAAAGAGAATAAAGCACCAGGAGAAGAACAAGATGAAGCAGAGAGTGATGGAGGAGAGTGTATTGAAAATAATGAATCCAGCATGGAACAAACTGAAACAGAAATAGCACATACTTCATTAGAAGAATCTGAAGTTGTGCTTGCTGACCAGCAGACAAATGACTGTGTAAATAAATCTGATACAGAGACTGAGAATGAGCAAGCTGTTGATAATAGTGCTAGATGCAGATCTGAGAAGGACAATATTGAATGTTCAGAACAAAACAAAGGATTTAATGGAGACCTAATAGAGCATCCGTTAGGTAAGTTTATGTTCCCATGTTGAGTTGACTAAGTGTTAACCATCTTCTATTCATAATATGACCTGTAAAAAGGTGCAACATTCCCTCCTTTGCTTACCACTACTGTTAATTCTGTTTTCTTTTTAACTATAGATGTATGTATGCATCGCATGACCCGTGCAAGGCGCTCACAGGTGGAGCAGCAGCATCTCATCAGTGTCGAAAAAGCTATGGAGGTCCTCTCAGAGCAAATACCACCCCTGATTGTGGACTGTGAAAAGCTTGAGGTTTGTAAATTTTTACCCTGTACAATGCTGAAGTAATAAGAAACAACAGGAAAAAATTACTTAAAGGAAATGTATCTAAAAACTAGAATAAGACTTTTTCAGTACTGTTCGTGCATGCATGCTACTCAGTTGTACTATTATATCTTTAATAAGTTTATTAAAATATATTAAAGAATGTATGCCTAAGGGCTGGGACTGTGTTACATTGATCTGTAAATCATTCTGCAAGACATTTTGAAAGAACAGAGTAAAAATGCTTATTTTGAGTGAACCGTAGAGCAATTAATTTAAATAATATCCTTAAATAGTATTATGTTGTACTGAGTTCACAGTTCCCTGTATTTATCATAGGCAGAATATTTAGGTTTAGGTAGATATTACAATCTTAGGTGGAAAAAGTTGGCATTGTATTGGACTGAAATGTATCTGTACGTATTCAAATCATAGTATATCTTGAAAGACCCACACTTCTAGGCTTTCGGGTGTAGTGGGGTGGGAAGAAAATACGGGGACACTTACCCTTGTGAGCTTCTGTGTCTTGTTTCACTTATTTTGTACAACTGTTCATACTCTGCTTCTAAGAACTGAAGGAGAAAGAATTGTACTTACCTCTTTTTTTAAAAAAAAAATCTTTTCTAGGAATTACTGGAAACTGTTACTGAGAAAAGTAGAAACTATACTATACTTCAGTTGGAAAAACTTTATGCTTTGCTCAGCCAATGTATTTATCGACATCGCAAAGACTATGACAAAACAAAATTGATCCAGGTAAGATATTTCATACAAATTACTTCATGCGAGTATTTAAATCCCATACATCCTGCTGAAATCCTGTTGCTTAGCATAGGAAGTCACAAGTAAAGTAGGACACTTGAATCAATAGAACTTATGGAGGAATTGACAGAGTAACCTCTAATCCTGGATCCAAATCAGTATATCATGCGGTGGGCTCCTCCATGACATTTCAGCTGACCTTATAGGTACATGAACTTTATTTTGACACCCATTGTCACCAAACATCAAGAAAACACATACAATTGGAGGTGCCCTTGCTTTTAAATAAGCATCATCTGTGTTTTCTTTAGTCCTGTAAACACAGCTTCTATTTTTGTCTGTATGGGCAAAAATATGCCCAAAATTATTCAGGCCACAATCCATTAGGAATTAGTTCAGATATAAATTTGGAGCTCAGTTACTAAAGTCCAGTTTTTGCCAGTGACAGAGAGTTCCAGATAGGAGTGTTTAAACCCATGGTGGGTGATTTTTTGCTATTCAAAATTGGTAAGATTTAAGGAGCTGTGACTGTAGCCCCCCCCAAGAATGCTTTTTAGCTTGTTCTTTTCTTTGCAGTCCTTCATTAAAAATTGGGAAAAGTCTCAATTCTTTTCTAGCTGAACTCTGATTCAGTTTTTCAGTTACTATTTCTGCAGTGTGTTTATATGAGATAATAATGAACTGTCCTGCCGTTTTAGCTCCCTTGGGGGTGGCGGGGAAGGTCAGATTGCTGTTCTTACTGGAAAACTATAATGTAAATATGCAAAAATCATCACATCAGAAGGGATGTTTAAATACTATGACGTTCTACTTTTGTCACTGGTTTTTTTTTCTTTTTTCAGGAAATGTCAAGAGAAATTGTAGGATTCAATTAATTCCGCTAATGCAGAGTCCTAATTTAAAATATTACTACGAAGTAATTTCAGACCAAATTAACTAAGCTAATGTTTTTAATTCTGTCCAGTATGGGTACAAAAGCCATAGCTATGTAAGCAATTTGAAGCTAGACATAACATGAATAAGCGGTTCTGCCATTATGTCTGACAGTCTTTGTACCGTTTTGATTCATAATCTATTTTTTAAAAACTTCCTTCTTAAAATATGTTTTAAACATACAATACCCCCAAATTAGTTCTGGGAGGATTGAAGTTTTGAAAATACATATTAATTGCACCATTTTTTCTTTGTAAATTTAATGAAAATACATGGTAATTTATCCCAATCCAATCATGTATATATGTTGCACCTGTATTTAAAGAATACAGTTGGTAATCTTAACATCCAACATGGTTTTCAACAAATGCTAGAACAAATTTAACTATTCCACTTTCTTAAGTGAAATATTCTCTCCTTTTTATCTCTACATTAATTCTTCTAGTGTTCATGTTACTGGCAGCATCTTTTTCAGTGCTCTAAGCATTATATAAAATGTAAATGTGTTAAATTTTAATTGACAAAATAAATGTGTGTATTCAACATTGGTTGTGTAGTATTCCTTTGTTACCTGCTGATGTGGTTTGCATGAGTTGCAGTATATATATATAAAAAATCTAATCCACAGAACTCATGACCAAGTAAACTGTATATCTGACATGATCACATTCCCCTCTTCAAAAGGAGAAAGTCAAGGTGGTCCAATGAGGGATTTATTCAGAAAACAGAATCCTTACTCAGGAATAAAAGGACCAAGAACTGGCAAAAATAATAGGATTTTTAGAAGTACATACAAAATCAACAAAACACTATTTCATTGTGCAGGTAACAGGAAATAAGAGGCCTGGAGACAGAAAAACAAGGATGTTAAAGGCATACTACATGAGGATGAAATTAAAGATTTCTTCAAACCTGGTTTCACTGTAAAGAAACAAGGCAGATACCATTATCTGAACTGTTTTGTTTTGCTGGACAGGAATCGAAAGAACAAATAGTCTTGATAAGCTTAAGTTTTGGACATTAAAAAAACTAAAAATTAACGAATCACAGGGACTAGATTAGTGGTTCCCAACCGTGGGTCCCTAGATATTCTTGGATTAAAACTTCCAGAAGCCTTTACCACTAGCTGTGCTGGCCAGGGTTTCTGGGAATTGTCCAAGAACATCTGGGGACCCAATGTTGGGAACCACTGGTCTAGATGGCATCCACTATCTCATAGTGTAGCAACTTCTAATCAATTTCAGTACAGTGGTGCCTCGCAAGACAAATTTAATTCGTTCTGCGGTTAATATCTTGTGAAAAAATTGTCTTGTGAAATGCGTTTTCCCATAGGAATACATTGAAATCTAATTAATGTGTTCCTATGGGCAAAAAAAAAAGTCAGAACAAAGTCAAATTTGGTTTACAAAGAATTTATTAAGTGCTCTTTTAGGCCATACATATTGTGCAGATGATTTCAAAAAATTTTAATCAAAAATCTTTTTAAACATCTTAGAAAAACATTTAATAATCAGCAAACATGAGGCAGGAACAAAAAAATGGAAAACATTTGTCTTGCGAAGCAAGGCCATAGGAACATTCATCTTGCGAGTCATCAACCCCATCGCCAAAACCACTCGTCTTGCGAGTTTTTCATCCTGCAAGGCATTTGTCTTGTGAGGCACCACTGTATTCTGCTTTTGCCTTATAAAGGAAGCCCAAAGCATCTTGCAGTAAATTCTGTAGTATATTCTTGCAATAAATGTCGTAGTTTGATGCATATAAGGCAAGGATGTCCAACTTGTGGCCCCCTAGATGTTTTTTGGAAGTGCCACTTCTACCAGCAAGTAGCACCATTGCCAAAGGTGAGGGGTCATGAGAATTGTAGTCTACATCCAGAGGACTACAAGTTGCCTTCTCTGACACAAGACAGGTATGTACAGCAGTGCCTTGACTTATGAACGTCCCAACTTATGACCATTTCGAGTTATGACCAGCTCCAGCCGCCAAATTTTGCTTCAACTTGCGGCCGGTGCTTCAACTTACAGCCATTTCAAGTTATGACCATCTTCCGGAACGGATTAAGTTTGTAAATTGAGGCACCACTGTATATATTTCATCTTTCCTCCAGCAAATGTACCGTTTATAGAAACTGTCCTGCAGAATATCCAGGTAGATTTAGGGATAGTTCTGCCTAAATTCTGGAGAATTACTGCCACTCAGCTAGAACTTCTAATCCTCTAATTCAGTGGTCCCCAGCCTTTAATGAACCGCAGACCGGTTTGGGGGGGGGTGTCTGTGTGCTCTAACTGCTTAGAGCATCCTCTGGGCTAATAAGCATACCCATGTGGGAATGTTCTGTCCACGGGGTTACCAGAGGCTAAAGAAATCTAGCCGCCTGTACTGTGGGTTTGCTCGTGCGTGTTTATTACTGAATATGACTGCAACATCCTGTGATGATTGTCTCTTTGAATGAACCGTCAGATGGAATTATTATATTGCCTCAAGTATCCTGCTTTCAACTCCCACGTATAAAGCAGTTTCAATGGAATTAAGTGGGAACCCATGTAGCTATTATGTGTGTGTTCCACAAGCAGAAACATCCTTCACTGGGTGGAAAGGCTTGGAGCTTGGAAGCAACTTAACTGGATGCAATAGGTTACCTTTTTTAAGCAGGGCAGCATAACCAACATTCAAAAGTAATGTAACAAGTAGGACCTTGCCTGTTTTTTTGTTTTTGTTTTTTGCCATAAAACAATCTCTTCTAATTACCTCCTTTTTTTTTTAAAAAAAGGTGATTTTTAATTCGCAGAATTTTTCAGGCTTTGTGCCAATGGCTTGCCAACTGGTTCCCATCCCACCAAAAAAGGGCCTGGCACATAATGTGATAGGTCACATTCCTTGGAATGTAACAGTAACAAGTTACATTGGAGGGCTATGCAATAATATATGTGGCATATTTAATTAATTTTCCAAGCTCTGAAAAGGTTACCACACTTGTAGGATTACTTACTGTTACTTAGTGTAGCAAGTCATAGGTCTATTATATCTGTAGAGGTTTGGAAAGTCAACTCCAAAATTCCATCAATTCAAAAGGGGCTACTCTAGTTGTGGCAATTTGCTTAAAAAAGTAGTTCGATTAGGCCCATTTGAATCAATGAAACCTATGCAGTTGACTCACCAAATCACCAGTGTTTTAGTGGGCTTACTCTAGTGTGACTATGCCAGGCAAGGTTTCAGCCCAGAAATGATATGAAGAAAGCAGATATTGGTTCATCCCTTTTAAAACGTTAAGAGTTTGAGTTCACTGCCAGGAGGAGAATCAGGATAGATTTGGAAGGTTTATTTTTATTGTTGAGGCAAAATATTAATGGGATTTGCTGCTACATGATTGTGGATACAGTGTATGTAGATGGATTTAAAAGGTGATAAAAATTCCTCAAAGGTTATGTCTGATGCCATGATGGTCCTATGAAGGTATCCTGGTTCACAGGCAAGACCACAAGCCACTGTGGAAAAACAGGGCACTTAAGGGGTACCTGGGACAATGTTCTCCCTCCTTACCAAGGCAAGTTAATGCTTAAAGACATAATTTCACAAAGGCTAACCTGTGGCACTTAAAATAATCTCCACTGCAGAAGGTATTGGACCCTGTATACCAATGAGCACAAGGGGTGAGCTTTTCTCATTGCCAAGAAAACTGATCAGGATGTGAGCTTAGGGATACAGGCTAAAGAAGTCGGTGCCCTTGCTATCCAGACAGGCTTGCCCCTAACTGAAACTACCTACTGAACCTTGCTAAGAGTTTGGAAGATTGCTTTTAAAAATTTGTTCCCATTGCAGTGTTTTGAAAAGTATCTATTACTAGCTGCAGAAAACAATTCATTTAATATCTTTAGCCATACTTTAACCATAACCTACCTTTCCCCTTGTTTTTAAAAAGAACCCAGGGCATCTTACAACAATTAAAAGACAGGATTTGAGTTAGTAACGATTGACTAGACAAAGAATCAAGCAAAACAATACCAAAAACGTAGGCAACGCATATTCGATTGACTAGACAACACTAAAAGAATCAAGCAATACAATACCAAAAACGTAGGCAACGCATATTCAATGCAGTAAGGTAGGACAATCCATTTTTAAAAACCCCAGCTGTTCACTCAGTTATACTGCTTCCCCTCCCTTTTTGGAGGAAGGGGGGAAAACACAACCCCCCCCCCGCTCAATGCAGGAATCCAAAGCAAAGATCTGCCAGGTCCTTATCTAAATTTCCCTTGAATGCCTCCACCCTTGGGAGCACTTACTACCTCTCAAGGTAGGTCGTTGATTCCACTGTCTGTACTGCTCGTAACAGGAAGTTTTTTCCCTGAAATCCACCCAAAACCTGGCTTTCCAAGAACCTTGAGCCCTTTGGATGATCGGGAAGAGATCCTGCCACCCACCCACCCCCCTCTTGTAGGACAGCCTTTCCAAAGATCTGAAAAGTCCTCTCCTATCTATGTCCTCTTTCCGCAGAGAGAAAGAGATAGAACCGCTCGAAGAGCTCTAACAGGCATTTCCCCCCCCATGTGACAATCACCAGATCCCCTCCCCCTCCCCCAACTATCAGCCCCCTCTG